CCTGGGGTGGGGTGGCTACAAATGGGTCTTGACAGGAATGGACACTGACTCTGGACTGGGATTTGCTTACCCCATGGCAGATGCAAATGCTCAGAGTGCAATAAAAGGACTGGAACAGAAAATTTTTCACCATTACAGATGGCTGACCATCATCTCTTCAAACGAACACACTTAATAGCCCATAATGTCCAACAATGGGCAGAGAGAGATCCTCCTCAGAGTACTAGTTGGATAGAGAATTGAAAGAGGCAATTACAATATTGGTTGTCTAAAATGGGGGAAATAGAGGCATGAAGGGCTGGCTTACAGGCCTTCACGAGAGTGTGCTCACCTCACCATGAACAAGAGTGGGGCTAAAGGTGTCACCCCACGGGATAGATTTATTTTTCTGGTGAATCTGGGGAAGAGGGGTGGGGAAGGTGCTGGTATGACTCTTCAATTCTGGCCAAGGAAGGACACTGGTGTAAATGGCTATGCTCCTTTTCTTTCTCTTTCTTTCCTACATCACCTTAACTTCCCCCGCCACCCCCCCCCCCCGCCCTACTTGATGCAGTGGTCACAGGACCAGGGATGCAACTCTAAAGGCTGGAAACAGAGATGATTCCTAAGCTAGAAACTAATTGTGCTTTTAACCTTAATTTCAGAATTCCTAAGGGCCTGATGGGGCAGGATGTGCCTTCACTTCTCTGGCAAAATTGAGGCTAACAGTAAATGCAGCTCTATTGCCTGGTGGTACAGACAGCCTGCTAGTTCTGTACCTGTGTGATTTTAAAACAAATGAATAAATGAACTACATAATGAGGGAAGTCCAAGATTTCATTAACACCTTGAAAGAGGCTCAGAGCAAGAGATGAAGCACAGGTTGGTGAGAAGCACAAGGGACAACCTGCACTTGCAACTCGTGTCTAAAGTGGAGAGAAGGCAGTCTTGTAACACTGAGCCCTTAACCTGTGGGGTCTGATGCTATCTTCAGGTAGACAGTGTCAGAATCGAATTAAATTGTAGGACACACAGCTGGCATTGGAGAATTGCTTGGTGGTGTGTGGAAAACCCACCCCAACATTGGAACTCGGTTCAGTACCTTTAGGAGGTAAGCAGAGAACATTGTGTTCTAAGGTGTAAAAGAGTTAAGCTAAGCCCATAGCTAAGCTGGAAACTTGGCTAATGAGAAACTCTGGGTTCTACAAAGTGTAGATTTTTTTTTCACTCATGAGAACGCTGAGGAAAATTAAACTTAGAGAGAAAGAAACAATCAAGTGAGAGTAGAAAGAGGTGGAAGAGTGGAAGGAAGCTACAGCCTTGTGCTGTTTCATTGCTTCAAAAACATTAAACATCTCATCTGGTTCAGAGGCTCATCTAGATATGTGTTACACATCAGTGAAGAAAGAAATGTGTCCTCATGTAGCCTTTGTTCACAGCCTTTAGTGAGGGGAGTAGCCAATAAGTAACAAAATATAATATGGAATATAAAAGGTATTCTATGTGATAGTTAATTAGAAGGTGACAGGTGCTGTGGAGACATAAAGGAAGAGCAGCTCTGAGTTACGGCGGCGTGTGGAGTCAGGAGGATTTCACTAGGACACAGAGGGGTCATGGTTCTTGTAGAGAGATGATACCAGAGCACAATTAAAGGAGAGCAAGGAGAGATCTGGATACTAGGGAAAGATGCTCTAAGAGAAGAAACAGCCAGTACAACGTCCCAGCACCAGGAGTTTGCCTGGAGTGCCAGAAAATTGATGTCATCATTGTTTGACATGGATGTCATCATCATGGTTGGTGATATATTACAGTAAACTGCAACAAGCCAGACAGAAATCTTCCTACTGTGTGCACATTGCCACATCCACATGCCTTTACTTCAGACCTCCTTGTCAACCATCTTCTTGACTTTTCCTTCCTCACCAGGCTGTTATCCTGGAATCCATGTATATTGTCACCTTTGGATAATGATTTTCCCACACAAAATGGATGGCCCAATATAGCATAACCCGTTGGAAAAATGTTGCTTCTCCATTATCTTTCAGGGATACCCTGAACGTGACTGTGACGCAGCCTACACTCACTTCACCTTCACTCATAAACCAAAGTGACCCAAGCAGAACCCAAGCTCAGGCTTTCTCCTCCCCTTAGCTGGCTGTGCAGATCACCCAGGACACCCACTGCAGTGAGCTGTTCCTACCGTGCTGGGGTCTCCCCTACCTACTCATGCAGCCTGCTTGTGTTCTCTGGAGCTGATCTGGCTCGATCCTGCCTGTACATCTCTCCCTTACAATGGAATTCAGCAGTGCCCGTCTGACCTTATGACTTGGATGGTCCAAGAGAACTCTCCTCACAGTGGATCATTCTGGATGCATGGAGACTTGATGCCCCATATTCCAGTCTTCTGTTCTTATGTGGGCACAATGACACAACACGAGTTTCACTGTGATTTATAAATCTGTACTGCAAGTGGCATGGACTTCCTCCAGAGCCTCAGCAGCCTGCACTGTGATTCCCTGGATGGGACTTGCTAACACCCTACACTGCATATTTCCCAGCAGGTGGCCTGCTGAATCATAAGGCCCTGGTGGCAGGACTGCCTGCACCACAGCCCAGACTGGCTACAGAGCCCTTTTCCTGCTGCAGGACCCCCTCCATGACCTCCATGTCCTCTGGTATACAAGGAAGATCCTAGTTGAGGAAACGTTGCTTCTTAAAGACAAGACCACCAGACACTGTGCTCCATCTTTTTGCAAGGAACAAAATATTAAAATGGCTAAAATTAAAAAGATTGATGACACCAAGTATTGGCGAGCATCTAAAGAAATGCAAATTCTCATACACTCCTGGCAGAAAGGTGAAACTGATAACCACCACAGAAAACAGATTGGCAGTTTCTTTTCTTTTTCTTATACATTGATTTTAATTCTTATTCTGAATGTTCTGATTTTGTTTTAACTGGTACAAGATTCGGGAACTGAAGCAAACCAGTGACCTTCTTGCTACTCGACTGTTACATCCAAGCAGCATTATTTCACAACCATGAGGAACACGACCTCTCGGAACAGCTCCTGGAAGGTACTTTAGTGAACATAACTTTGCAAAGTTTACTTCATTCTACCCCATTTAGACATACACCCCCTGCTGGGCAACTGAGAATTGCTCCTGGCTCTGAAGACCTCTCCTGGGTGTGTGGAAGCCACCAGCCTCACTGCCTCCTCCTCACATATCCTCAGTGCCCTACCTTAGTTCACATCTTCAGCTCTTTACTGCCATGCAGCGCTCCAGCCTCTCCTTACATTGATCATCCTCGAAACTATGTGCAGCAGAAGCATGCAGATACACTTCACGTCAAATCTCTAAGAATACCAATCTTGTCTCAGATTCCTCAAAAACATTCAATGGCTCCGTAGTGCTTATCGAATTGGTCCAAATTCTTTAGCCAGGCATCCAAGATCCTTCATAAACTAGCCCTGAACCATCTTTCTGAACTTACCCCTCACTGTTCCTCTGCCTCCCAAGCAGTTTCCACTCATTGCTTTTTTTTTTATTTCAAAATTTTATTTTTCCTTCTCCCCAAAACCCCCAGTACATAGTTGTATATTTTAGTTGTGGGTCCTTCTAGTTGTGGCATGTGGGATGCTGCCTCAGCGTGGCATGATGAGGAGTGCTAGATCTGTGCCCAGGATCTGAACTGCCGAAACCCTGAGCCACCAAAGCGAAGCCCAAGAACTTAACCACTCGGCCACAGGGCTGGCCCCTCCACTCATTCTTTAATATGCAGTTCGAGCTGCTTGTCCAGGAAGCTCACCCAGCTGGCCCAGATCACAACTGCTGGAGCATGTATTGTCCATGCCACTTCTCTGGCACTGAGTCTAGGCTGTCTTTTTCATTGCCGCATATGCCTTGTCCTTACAAGAAACAGCTTGTGAACTCCTTGAGGGCAGGCACTAGGTCTTAAAACAAAAGTTATAGCAACAATGATAACTAATACTGGTTTGACACTTTTGCAACTATTAACTTCCCTTTCTCATAATGCCCATGTGAGGTAAGCAGGGAACAGGTTATAATCTCCACCAGGGAGATGAGGAAACAAAGCTCAGAGGGGCTAAGTAACTCACTCGCAGTCACACAGCAAGCAAGTGGCAGAAAGGGAATGGGCCCGGGTCTTCTGACTCTTGACTCTGTCCTTGTTCCATTACCCCCTACAGTCTCCCATGTGAGTATTCCAATTTCCCAAACCTTATCTATGGCGATTGACAGCCAATATTTGTCGATTCTATAATCTCCAACATCACCCCTTGGATTTTGTCCTGCTGCCATAGTGACCTGGGGTCTCCCTAATGCATCCTCCAACTCTATCTCTGCTTTTCCCATAGGAGGCAGCACCAACTGCTGGAAAGAGCCAGGTGGCAAGTCACACATGCGCCTGGTCCCAATGAAGCCTCTGCTCCTCCATGCTGTGGATCCCTGCATGGAGAGGGGAGCCCTTACCCAGTGAGACCAGGAGCCCACAGGTCTACAGCATCACCTGCATATACAGAATACCTGAGCTCTGTGCTCAGCTTAAAGGGGAGGACAACGTAGCCTCTGGGCTTAACATAATTGTGGCTGAGAGAAAAGCCTCCTAAGGGTGAAGTGGCTGGAGAAACACAATCAACAGTGCTCCCTTGAGAACCTGGGGGTGGAGGTAAGTGCTCTGGGACATCACAGGAACAGGGGAAGATGATCATGACAACAATTCCAACAACAAAAACAGCAAAAACAGCTGCTGCACCTCCCTCGTCCTCACTGTGGGTCTGCCCTGGGCTGGGAGATCACATGCTGAGGTAAAGAGATTAAACCACCCAGCTCTGGAGATAAGACTCAGGGGTACAAACCCAGCCTTTTGAATCTGACACTTGTCCATGTGTGAACCTGGAGAACCCACTTCACATTTCTGACCCTAGATTTACCCAGCAATATGACACTTCCCACTTCCCCATTTTGTTGTGAGAATTAAAAGTAAAATACTCAAAATGTAAGAACTCAGCACGTTTGTTACTTTTATTGATCCGCAGGGAGACCAAGGTCAATGCAGTCACCACCTGCATCTCACAGTCACTGAACTGAGCCTCTAGGAGCTCCAGCAAGGTACTCAGACATTCCCTGGTGGGGAATCCACACTGAGACCTCAGTACCCCACAGCTCCCTCCCGCCTGAGGGGATAAAGGAGTGCCTTGCCCCGTGACTGTAAACTGCAAACAGGTAGAGAAGACAGGTGCAGCTGCTGCGCAGTGAATGGGAACCTTGGCTTTCACCTCTTCTGATAGCCCAGGGGCAGGGTCACCTCTACTCTCCATTTTATACAGGAGGAAACTGAGGCTTAGAAAGGGTTGACTGTAAGCTCCAGTGATAAATGGGGATCTGAGAGTCAAACTCTGGCACCTTGGGGTGTCTGACCACTGCCCTCTCATTTCCCTCCTCACAGGGCTTTGAACACCCAATCTATCCTGATGCTATCTGGGCCCCCATCTGCTCCAACCCACCAATGATAGACGAGGAAAATGCGCAAACACAACAAAACAAGACTTTATAGTATTATTGAAATCTGAATTTAAGAAACAGATCAAGGCGCTGGCCTGGTGGCATAGTAGGTAAATCTTCACGTTCCACTTCAGCCACCAGGGCTCACCAGTTCATACCTGGCGGGCAGACCTACGCACTGCTTGTGAAGCCATGCTGTAGCAGGCATGCCACCTATAAAGTAGTGGAAGATGGGCACAGATGTTAGCTCAGGGCCAGTCTTCCACAGCAAAAAAGAGGAGGAGTGGCAGCACATGTTAGCTCAAGGCTAATCTTCCTCAAAGCAAGAAAAAAAAGAGAAACAGATGGATAATATGTAACAATGCAGATTAATGTTAAGAATACAATGTATGTCTTCATTACATTGTTCATAACACAAAAATATTTTTAAGGGTTAAAATATATTCTTCTGCTATTGAAAACAATTATCACATTAAAAAAAGAAGTCATGCATGTATTTGAGAATGAGTGAAATTCCAACACATAGTTGTTGCTTCAGTGTGTCATTTGTTAAAGAAAGGGAAAATAACCAAAGTTCACAAAAGAATAAGCAAAAGATATTAGCATTTTACCAAAGACACACAAAGAGCAAATAAACATCTGAAAAGCTGCTCATCAGTAATCCTTAGGGAAATGCAACTAAAACAACAATGAAACAGCATGACAAAGTTGTTAAAAGGGCTAAATTAAAAGTGACTTACCACATTTGGTACAGCATAAAGACTTTGTGTATTGTGAATTCTGTGTTTAATGAGACTGGAATTTTTGGAAAGCATTTTCCACGTTCACTGCACTTAGTGCAGTGTGAACTATTGATATGAAAGGTACAGAGTACATCAGCTAAAGAATTTCCCAGATTTACTTCACTCATAAGGCCATGATCCAGTGTGCAACCTCTCATGTTGTGAGAGAGAAGAGAGTTGGGTAAAAGACTTCCCACATTCACTACACTCATAAGGCCTTTACCCGGTGTGGGCTCTCTGGTGTTTACTGAATTGGGAACTATACCTAAATGATTTCCCACATTCACTGCACTCAAAAGGCCCTTCTCCCGTGTGAACTCTCTGGTGTCGATTATAATGTGAACTACTCATGAAGGATTTCCCACATTCACTGCACTTATATGGCCTTTCTCCTGTGTGGATTCTCTGGTGTCGATTATAATGTGAACTACTCATGAAGGATTTCCCACATTCACTGCACTTATATGGCCTTTCTCCTGTGTGGATTCTCTGGTGTTGAGTAAGTGTTGAGCTATTAGTATAAGATTTCCCACATTCACTACACTCAAAAGGCCTTTCCCCAGTGTGAATTCTTTGGTGTTTTTTGAGTTGGGAAACATCCCTAAAAGATTTCCCACATTCAGTGCACTCATAATCCCTTTCTCCAGTGTGAACTCTCTGGTGTTCATTGAAATGTGAACTGCGACTGAAAGATTTCCCACACTCACTGCACTTATAAGGCCTTTCTCCTGTGTGAACTGTCCGGTGTCGGACAAGCGTTGAGCTATTGGCATACGATTTCCCACAGTCGATACACCCATAAGGCCTTGACCCAGTGTGAATACTCTGATGAAAACGAAGACTTGAAGAAGACGAGAAAGATTTCCCACATTCATTACACCTATAAGGCTTTTCTCCAGTGTGAAATCTCCAGTGTTGAATGAGATGAGAATTTACTCTAAATGATTTCCCACATTTGCTGCACTCATAAGGCCTTTCTCCAGTGTGAACTCTCTGATGATCACGAAGGGTGCTCCTAATGCTAAAAGATTTCCCACATTCATTGCATTCATATGGCCTCTCTCCCGTGTGAATTCTCTGGTGTACAAGAAGATTGAATCTTATGATGAAGGATTTCCCACATTCACTGCACTCATAAGGCCTTTCTCCACTGTGAACTCTCTGATGATCACAAAGGGTGCTCCTAAGGGTGAAAGATTTCCCACATTCATGGCACTCATAAGGCCTCTCTCCTGTGTGAATTCGCTGGTGACTAACAAGGTGGCATCGTCGGATAAAGGATTTCCCACACTCACTGCACTCATAAGGCCTTTCTCCTGTGTGAACTTGCTGGTGTCTAACAAGGTGACATCTTCGGATAAAGGATTTCCTACATTCACTGCACTCATAAGGCCGTTCTCCTGTGTGCACTCTTTGATGATTACTGAGGTTGGAACCAGATGAAAAAGATTTTCCACATTCACTGCAGCGATGAGGCCTTTCTCCAGTGTGAACTCTCTGATGAGAATGGAGTTGGGAGCTAGAGGTAAAACACTTACCACATTCACTGCACTTGTAAGGCCTTTTTCCAGCGTGAACTCTCTGATGATAATGAAGGCCAGGACAAGAGATAAAAGATTTCCCACATTCACAACACTCATAAGACCTTTTTTTACTATGAACACTCCGGTGTTGAGTGAGGTAAGATGGATGGCTAAAAGATTTCCAACATTCACTGCACTCATAAGGCCTTTTCCCTGTGTGAACTCTCTGGTGTAGAATGAGTCTTGAGCTGTTGGTAAAAGATTTCCCACATTTAATGCACTGAAAAGGCCTTTCTCTTGTATGCATTCTCTGGTGGAGAAGGAGTACCAATCTCTTGGTAAAAGACTTCCCACAATCATGGCATTCATAAGGCCTTTCTCCAGTGTGAACTCTCCAGTGTAAAATGAGGTAAAATATTCTTCTAAAAGATTTTCCACACTGAGTACACTCATAATGCCTTTCTCCAGTGTGAACTGTTCGTTGCTGAATAAGGATGGATCTACAGTGATAAGAGTGTGCACATTCACTGCACAAATAATTTTCCCCAGGGTGACTTCTCCAAGGATAAATGAGGACAGATTTTTGGTGAAAGGAGTGTCCACATTTGCTGCACTTGCACTGCCTTGCTCCAGAATGAATTCTTTGATGCTGCTTGAGCATTGAGCTTCTCCTAAAAGATTTGCCACATTCTCCACACACACGAAGCTTTCTTCCAGTGTGGACTCTCCGGTGAACAATAAACGAGGATTTGTACCTGAATGCTTTCCCACATTCATGGCACACAAAACACTGTCTCCCAACGTGGAATCCCTGGTACTGAACAAGTGTGTGCTTTGGGCTGGAGGCTTTCTTGCATTCTCCCCAGGTGTAATGACTTTTTCTCAGACCTGCCTTGGGAGTCGTGGCCTGTGACACATCTACAGAAACACAGTGTTCAAAGGGAGCCTCCGCATCCTCTGCTGCCCTCCAGCAACCTGAAGACAAAGAAACCCCGGTGAAGCACGTGTTGACTTTAAAGGGAAGGGGAAACTCCATCACAAATGTGTGTCCGTCACATATAGGAAGACGTATATGGAATGCTTTCCAGAAAGGGAGCTGAAATCTGGCTGGGGAAGTGGCTACTGGGCATTACTGGGCCCCTAAAGCAAAATAATAGTGGAGATCTCACCAAGGTTGAACACAAGGATAGGATGTGACACAAAAAAGAGAGGCATATTCTAAAACTTCTTCCTCTGCAAAAGGATTCCTGCAGGACCTTTTGATGGTGACACAAGGCTGTGTAAAAGCATGTGTCCAAATCTAGGAAAACACAACTGTAACAGACTAACTGCTCTTCAAGGCCAACGTAAGATATGCACACACCTCACAGAACATGTGGACCAATGTTTCAGAGCAACAGAGAAAGAGCTATGAGAGAAATGGGTGAGATATGAAGTAGGCAGAGGTCAAGAGTCTCCCTGGGTTAAAAGTCAGAGTAGAAAAGAGAAGTAGTAGAACTGATTAGAAGACAAAATATCAACCATGGGGAAGGAAAAGTAGAAATGATGTGTGGCACTGCAATGACAACAAAACACTGGTTAAATGGAAAACATTCCTGATACAATCTGAAAACAGTCCTGACGTCACACCCTCCACAGACTCACGAGGCCCAGGTACCTTGAGTTCCCCTTGCAGCCTTGGCTATTTTGAACCCCTAAAATCTTTGTCACCCCTGACCTCAGCTGATGGAGCTGCACAGTGATTACATGGCTGGTCCCTCTCTAGAGCCAAAATTGCCACATCCCACACAACTGCAACCTCACAACCAACCCAAGGTGACGGTCTTTCCCCACCAAAACCAGCCCCACACGTTTAGAAGAGGTAACTGATCCATCAAACGTCAAGATATCAAAAGGCTGTAAGGAACATGAAAAATTAAGGAAACATGACAACACCAATGAAGCACAATAGGTTTCCAGCAAGTGGCACCAAAGAAACGCAGATCTACAAACTGCTGGACAAAGAATTCAAAATGATTGTTTTAAGGAAAGTCAGCCAGATCCAAGAAAACACAGAGACATGTCAGTGAAATCAGGAAAACATATATGAAAAAATCAAGGAGTTCAGAGAGAGAGAAAATAAAAAGAAACAGAAATTCTGGAGATAAATACAATGAATGAAACGAAAAATAAATAGGGAGCATCAACAGCAAGCTTGATCAAACAGGCAAAACATGTGTGACCTCAATTCAGGTCATTTCAAGTCATCCAGTAAGAGGAGAAAAAAGACAGAAGAAAGACTGTGTAAATTATGGGATTTCACCAAGGGAAATAAAATTTGCATTACGGGAGTGCCACAAGGACAAGTGAGGGACAAAGGGGTAGAAAGCTTATTTAAAGAAATAATGGCTGAAAACTTTCCAAACCAGGAGAGGGATGTATGTGCACATTCAGGTACATGATGCTCATGGGTCCTTATACAGATTCAATCCAAAGGGATCTTCACCAAGACACATTAAAATAAAACTTTCAAAAGTAAAAGACAAAGAGAATTTTGAAAGCAGGAAGAGAAAAGAAATTTAATGCATACATGGGAACCGCCATAAGGCCATAAATGGATTTAACAGCAGAAATTGGGCTGACCAGGAGAGAGTGGAATAACAAATTCAAAATGCTGAAAGAAAAAATCTGCCAAATAAGAATGCTTCATCCACCAAAGCTGTCCTTCAAAAATGAAGGAAAGATAAAGTCTTTCCTAGACAAAGAAAAGCTGAGTGAGTCTATCACCACTCAACCTGCCTTACCAGAAAGGCCAAAGTCAGTTCTTCAAGCTGAAATGAAGACACTAATTAGAAATCTGAAAACATACAAAAATTCAAAGCACAGTTGTAAAGACAAGTATCTATTCAAACTCACAACACACCAATACTGTAATATGGTGGTGTGTAAATCACCTACCTCTGGTATAAAGAACATTAAAAATAACCATAGTCACAATAATTCATGATTAAACAATATAAAAAGATACAAACTGTGACATCATAAAATGGAGGGAGGATGGGCTACTAAAAGGGTAATTTTTATGAGATTTACATTAAGTTACAATCAGCTTAAAACAGACTGTTGTAAGATGTTCCATGTAAATCTCATGGTAACCATAAAGCAAAAACCCACAACAGATAAAGAGAAAGGAATCAGAGCATAGAATTATGGAAAATCATCAAATCACAAAGGAAGATAGGAGGAAAGGAAAAAAGGGACTACAAAAAAGCCAGAACAATTAACAAGATGGCAACTGACAAGTCCTTACAAAATTCTCCAATCAAAAGACACACAGTCACTGAACGGATAAACAAAACAAGACTCAATTACATGTTCCCTACAGAGATACACGTTAGTTCCAAGGACACAAGCTGAAAGTGAAGCAATCCAAAAAATTTTTCCATGCAAATGCAAATCAAAAAAGAGCAGCTTAAACTTACAGGACTTTAACTCAAAACCTGTCACAGAAGACAAAGAAAAGTCATTATATAATGATAAAGGAGTCGATTCATCTAGAAAATATAACAATTATAAGCATACATGCACCCAACATCAGAGCAGCTAAATATATTAAGCAAGTATTAACACATTGGAAGGTAGAAAAGACAACTACAAAATACTAATAGTTGACTTCAATATCCATCTTTCAAGAATGGGTAGATCATCCAGATAAATAATCAGAAAATATTTGACTTGAACTCAACTTCAGATCAAATGGATCTAACAAATACAGAACATTCTATGCAACTACAGCAGAATACACATTCTTCTCAAGTGGACACAGAACATTCTCTAGGACAGAGCACATCTTAGGTCGCAAAACAAGTCTAAACAGATATAGTAAGACTGAAATATCAAGAAGCTTATCCGACTACAAAGAGGTGAAACTAGAAATCAGTAACAGGATGAAAGCAGGAAAGTTTACAAACGTGTGCACATTAAAAAAAACAATCCTGGGGGCCGGCCCCATGGCCGAGTGGTTAAGTTTGCATGCTCTGCTTCTGCAGCCCAGGGTTTTGTCAGTTTGGATCCTGGGCGCAGACATGGCACCGCTCGTCAGGCTATGCTGAGGCGGCATCCCACATGCCACAGCTAGAAGGACCCACAACTAAAATATACAATTATATGCTGGAGGGATTCAGGGAGAAAAAAAGCAGGGGGGAAAAACACTCCTGAACAATCAGTGGGATAAAGAAAAAAATTAAAATGAAAAATAATCTTGAGACAAATGAAAATGGAAAAAGACCAGGCTAAAACTTATGAAAAGCAGCAAAAGAAGTTCTAAGAGTAAAGTTTATAGCAATCAATGCCTAAATTAAGGAAAAAGATCTCAAATAAACAACCTAACCTTATACCATAGGGAACTAGGAAAATAATAACAAACTAGGCCAAAATTTGGGGGAACAAAGAAAAATAACACAGATCAGAGCAGAAATAAATGAAATATAGACTAGATAAACAATAAAAAAGAGCAATAAAGCTAAGAGTTGGTTTTTGAAAAGAAACAAAGTCAACAAATCTTTAGCTAGACTAACTTAGAAAAGAGAGAAGATTCAAGTCAGAACTGAAACAGGAGACATTAAAACTCATACTGCAGGGGGCTGGCCCACTATTTAAAGAAATAATGGCTGAAAACTTTCCAAAGTTTTCAGTGGCCGAGCGGTTAAGTTCGCGAACTCCGCTGTGGTGGCCGAGGGTTTCGCTGATTCAGATCCTGGGCACAAACACGGCACCACTCATCAGGCCATGCTGAGGTGGCGTCCCACATGCCACAACTAGAAGGACCCACAACTAAAATATACAACTATGTTCTGGGGGGATTTGAGGATAAAAAGCAAAAAAAAAAACCAAAAAAGACTGGCAACTGCTGTTAGCTCAGGTGCCAATCTTAAAAAAAAAAAAAAAAAGACTGCAGAAACACAAACATCTTAAGAGACTACTATGAACTCAACTAACTAGAAGAAATGGATAAATTCCTATAAATATACACCCTGTCAAGACTGAATCATAAAGAATAGAAAATCTGAACAGACCAATAATGAGTAAGGAAATAGAGTCATTCATTGAAAATCTCCCAACAAAGAAAAGCCCAGGACTAGATAGATTCGCTGGTCAATTCTACCAGAGTTTAAGGAGAATTAAAATCAATCCTTCCTCAACTCTTCCAAAACACTGAAGAGAAAGGAAAATGTCCAAACTCAAATTTCAAGGCCAGCATTACCCTGATACCAAAGCAAGATAAGGAAATTACAAGAAAATTAAATTATAGGTCAATATCATTGAGAAACATAGAAGGAAAAAGTCCACAACAAAATAACTAGCAAACCAAATTCAGCATATTCAAAGAATCTGACAGTATAATCAAGTGGGACTTATCCCTGGGATGCAAGGATGGCCCGCCACAGGTAAATCAATAAATGGATACACCGTATTAACAGAATAAAGGATAAAAATCATATGATCATTTAATAGATGCAGAAAAAGTGCTTAATAAAACTGAGCATACTTTCATGTTAAAAACGCTAAAGAAATTAGACATAGAAAGACTGTACCTCAATATAATAAAGGCTATATACAATACACTCACAATAATATCACACTTAACAGTTAAAACCTAAAAGCTTTTCCTCTAAAAGCAGGAACAAGACAAGATGCCCACTCCCCTCACTTCTACTCAACAGAGTTCTGGAAAGTCTAGCAAGAGCACTTAGGCAAGAAAAAGAATCAAAAGGATTCAAAATCATAAAAGAGAACGTAAAACTCCGTGTTTGCACAAGACATAATCATATAGATAGAAAACCCTGAACTCCACCAAAAAACTCTTACAACTACAAAACAAATTTAGGAAAGTTGCAGGATACAGAAGCAACATACAAACATCAGTTGTGTTTCTAAACACTCACAGTGAAATATCTGAACAAGAAATAAAGAGAGCAATATACTTACATCATCATCAAAAACAATTAAATATATACAAATAAATTTAACTTAGAAGATGAAAGATCTGGACTCTGAAAACTATAAGACACTGATCAAAGAAAGAGAAGACACAAATAAAGAGAAAGATATCCCATGTCTTGGAGTGGAGGAATTAATATGGTTACAATGCCCATGGGGATGGCCCCATGACCAAGTGGTTATGTTCTCACACTCAGCTTCCAGCGGCCCAGGGTTTGCCAGTTTGGACCCTGGGCACAGACCTAGCAGTGCTCATCAGGACATGCTGAGGCAGCATCCCACATAAAAGAACTAGAAGGACCTACAACTAAACTAAAATATGGGCAAAGGAGCTGACATACAAATGGCAAACAGGAATATGAAAAATAGCTCTTCCTCAATACTCATCAGGAAAATGTAAATCCAAACTACAACGAGATATCACCTCATACCTTAGGATGGCTATCATCAAAAACAGGAGAGAGAAATGTTGGCAAGGGTGTGGAGAGAAGGGAGCCCTTACACACTGTTATAGAATGGAAATTGGTAGCACCATTATGAAAAAGAGTGTGGAACTGCCCTGAAAAATTCAAAATATGAATACGACATGATCCAGCAATCCCATTTCTTGGTACGTACCTGAAGGAAATGAAATCAGAATGTGGGAGAGATAACCTGCCCTCTCACGTTTGCTGCAGCATTATTCACAACGCACAAGATACAGAAACAATCTGACTGACCATAAATGAATAAATGGATTAAAAAAAGGGTGATGGGGGCCGGCCTGGTGGCGCAGCGGTTAAGTGTGCACATTGCACTTCAGCAGCCTGGGGTTCACCGGTTCAGATCCTGGGTGCGGACATGGCACTGCTTGGCAAGCCATGCTGTGGTAGGCATCCCACATATAAAGTTGAGGAAGATGGGCATAGATGTTAGCTCAGGGCCAGTCTTCCTCAGCAAAAAGAGGAGGATTGGCAGCAGTTAGCTCAGGGCTAATCTTCCTTTAAAAAAAAAGGGTGATGTACACATACACACCTGGAATATTACTCAGCCTTAAAAAAAAGAAATCTTCTGGGGCTGGCCCCGTGGCCGAGTGGTTAAGTTCGCGCGCTCCGCTGCAGGCGGCCCAGTGTTTCGTTGGTTCGAATCCTGGGCGCGGACATGGCACTGCTCGTCATACCACGCTGAGGCAGCGTCCCACATGCCACAACTAGAAGGACCCACAACGAAGAATATACAACCATGTACGGGGGGGCTTTGGGGAGAAAAAGGAAATAAAATAAAAAAATCTTTAAAAAAAAAAAAAAAAAAGAAATCTTCTTATATGTGACAATATGGATGAATCTGGAGGGCAGTGTGCTGAGTGAAATAAGCCAGTCTGAGAAAGACAACTACGGTATGATATCACTTATATGTGGAATCTAAAACAAACAAACAAACAAAATATAGAACTCATACACAGTAGAATGCCAGGGCCTGGGGAGTGGGCAAGGTGGGGAACTGTTGTTCAAAAGGTACAAACCTTCAGTAAAGACGAATAACTTGAGAGGATCTAAATTACAACATGGTGATTACAGTTAATAATATTGCATTTTACACTTGAAATTTACCAGGAGAGTATACATTAAGTGTCCTTATAAAAAAAAAAGTAACCATATGAGGCGACAGAAATATTTACTAATTGGATTATGGAATTACTTCATAATGTATACATATATGAAATCATGACACTGTACACTTTAAATACACACCATTTAATAGTATGACAACAATAGGGGCTGGCCTGGTGGCACAGCGGTTAAGTGCGCATGTTCTGCTTCTCCGCAGCCTGGGGTTCACCGGTTCGGATCCTGGGTGCGGACATGGTGCCGCTTGGCACGCCATGCTGTGGTAGGTGTCCCACATATAAAGAGTAGAGGAAGATGGTTACAGATGTTAGCTCAGGGCCAGTCTTCCTCAGCAAAAAGAGGAGGACTGGCAGCAGTTGGCTCAGGGCTAATCTTCCTCAAAAAAAAAGAAAAAGAAAGAAAGAAAGAAAGAATGACAACAACAGAAGGAAAAAAAGAGAGATCTAAACTAAACAATAGAAACCCTGCAAGAGGGTCTTGAAAACTGGCCATAATCCAGGTAAGCAGTGACCATGACAACACCTGCAACTCCACACACAGACAGGCACGAGGAAACGTCAGCTAAAAGAAGCCATCAAACCCTGGGATACAGAAGTGCCATGGAGTTGGACATGTTCACCCACCCACGGAGAGGGCAAGCAAGGCGCCATCCACTAGCCTCACTGCAAGACTACTGACCTGGAATCCTTCCCTGTGAGGGCTCAGTACAGAGGGTACTGGGACTGCACGGGCGAGAAGAGAGCGGTGCACACACCCAGCCCTAACATCACAGCACCACCCAGAAAGCTGGGGAAGAAAGCAGCGCCCACACTACTCTGTCAGAAGAACAAAGCAGCCCCTGGAGAAAGGGGGGGTGAGACAGGATACAAAGCCTAGTCCAGGTCACGGGGAAGGAGAGGGCCTTACCCAGTGAGGATATGAGTGTAAAGTTCTCCAGCATCACATCGTGGTACAAGTCCCTCTGAGCTTCATCAAGGAGCCTCCACTCCTCCCAAGAGAAGTACACGGCAACGTCTCCAAAGGTCAAACTCTCCTGTCAAGATGGGGACAGATGAAACCATGAACTTTCTCCCTCTCAGAACCCACAGGCCCTCACCTTACACAACTACTCCACATTCCTCCCTCCAGAGCTCAGCTCCCCACTTCACAGGGGATACCAGGCCGTTGCCACTGACACCTGTTCTCTCCTCAGGGTCCCAATCATCACTGTGTTCAGCCCTCAGAAATAACAGGCAGGGGGACACAGATGCCACCCAAGCCCTGGGCCAGGCTGGCAGGGCCCCATCCCTCCTGCCAAGCAATTTCCCTGCATCTTCCAGAGTGTAGCTACAAGACACAGCTAAACGTGGGCTCATGCTTCACCCCTAAGTCCCCACTACACGGGCCTTGGGGCCCTCAGCTCACAATACCTATGTAAATGCAAACCATGATGGAGACACCACATTCTCATGTCTTCAGTCCCCACAGCTCTGCCACCTCCCTGCCCTACAACACGGGCATCTCCCTGCACTCACCCATGGACGAGACACATGGCACCCAGAGAGCGCTTCACAAACTCAAACACAATCCAGTACCTTCCCAGTCCTCGGATGGATCCCACAGCCAGGGAAAGCCCCAGATGCTGCTTTGAAGGCCTCCCCACCTGCCTCTGATCCTTGCTTCAAGATCAGCCACCCAGAACCACATGTGAATTTCAGATACCCATGACCCTTTTCCACTTCTGTCATGCAATTTCTGTCCCCTCAGCAGCCACAATCTGCCTCTCCCCACTCAATCTTCCTTAAAACCCCAGCCCATACGGTCTCCCTGCCAGGCACAGTGACTCTCACAACTGACTACATTCACCCCAGATCTTACCCACCAGCAAGACTCGAACACCCCAGATCCCATCAGGGCTCAACACACAATTCTGGTGAATGTGAACAGTAGAGAATTCGCAGGAGCCCCAGTCTCACTGTCAACTTGTCTCATTTACTCCTCTGCCTCTGAAGGCATCTCCCACCAACTCATCCCATGGAAGCCTTGGCCACCTGCCAGATCGTGCTCTCTCCCACACCCTTCCATGGCCATGGCCCTCCCTCATCTGTGTTTCTCATACTCAGGAACCTCAACCAGGTGCTAAGCAACAAAACCATTCCTCAGCATGCACCCTCATCTTTCTGATTTGCTAAAGCATTACCACTATATCCTGGATTCTCCTTCCTAAATGTGATCCAGAGCTCCACCCTGGTCCTCACAAGAGCCACAACAGCCATTTGAAAGTCTCCATCCTGAACCCCTCCCCAGATTTCCAGACCTGTGTCTCCAGATGCCCACTTGACGCCTCCACTCACTGTTCTCTGAAACATGTGAGACTCTTAACAGGGCCCGAATAAAACTTCTGACATTCCCAAGGAAAATAAACCTACCGACAAATTCCAGATCCCACTTGATGGAGCTTCCATCCCTTCAGCGGCTACAACCCAAAACCCTGGAGTCATCCCTAACCTCTCCTTCAATTTTGTAGCTGTTAGTGCCATCAGGTCAATTCAGCCTCCTGGTGATGCTGTGTACAGCAGAGCGGAACCCTGTCCAGTGTTGTTTGCGCCATCTTCTCATCTCCCAGTGCTCCCAACACCAGATGTTGTTCTGCTGTTATTCATAGGGTTTTCACGGCCAATTTTTTGGAAATGGGTGGCCAAGTCCTTCTTAGTCTTTCTTAATTTGGAAGCTCCACAGAAACCTGTCCACCTTGGGTAACTCCGCTGGTATTTGAAGTACTGGTGGCACAGCTTTCAGCATCACAACAAGCAGCTGCCACAGTATGACATGTGACAAAAACAGGCTGTGGCTCCCTGTCAAGGAAACAAACCCAGGCTGCAGCAGTGAGAACATCAAATCTTAACCACTGAACTTGGCCCTTCTTCAATAACAGAGCTAGAATCCAGACTTTTCTCCCACCTCCATGGCCACAACTCGGTTCATCAACACAGGGAACACAGCAGTAGCCTCCTCCTGAGTTCTTGCCTCCTCCCTTAACCCACAGTCTGTGGTCTTCTCTGCAGGAGATGGAGCCTCCTAAGACCTGGGTAAGACCACCTACCTCCTCTTATCCAGACCTCTCACTATGTCCATAATAGACACCTAACTTCTCAGGCGGCCACATTACAGGACTGATTCCTGACTCCCTACTCTTTGTTTCTCACGGAAAGAATGGAGACCTGCTGTCCCCTGTCTCCAGCTCAGTCACACCTCCAAGCATTTGCACACGCTGGTATCCGTTCCCGGGATAACCTTCTACACCTGTTTATACTGGTTGTCAGAAATGGGAACACTTCCATGTTACCCTCGGCCTGCACTCAGGACACAGGGCTTGGGGGTATCCTCAGGGTCCCCGCACCCGAGAGCTGTGAATGCAGCAAGTCTCAGGACGCCACAATCACGGACACCACACGGCTGGTGTTAGTACCACTGAGGGGTTGGGACACCCTCTCCTTCCCTATGCAGGTTCCATAAGTGCTTTTTCCTGTCCCAGAACCTGTGGGGAGAGGCAGGCCACCACGGCTGGACCCCGCCCCGCCCTGCGACCCGGTGACCTCGGCTTCACTCACTGACCTCCGGGCCTCAGTCCTCAGAGCTGCCTCGGACCAGCTCTGCGCCCTCGGACCAGGACTCCGCTCCCCGCGCCTCCCCGGCCTCCTCACCCCTTCCCGTCTGTTCTCTCCGAGCAGCTCCTGGAGAACTTTTGAAACCCCAACACGCACCGCGTCCCTCTCTGGTCACAGCCCTCCCGGCTCCGGGCCCTCAGACTGAAGGAGCAGCCCCTCCCCTGCCGGTCCAGGGGGGAACCCTCCTCACGCCGTTCCCTGCGGACCCAACCCTCTGGGACCCTCGGCCGCAGCCCGGCCCCCGCCCGCAGCCACAGGCCCCACGAGCGCCTCCCCGGCCCGGTCCCGGGGCCTGGGCTGCAGGCCCGGGAGCAGCGCCCGCCCGAGGGCTGGAGCTCGGGCTGCGCTGCGGGCGGGGCGGGCCGGAGCCGAGCGCTCACCTGAGCCGGCTCCCTCCGCGGGGAAGCCGCCATCGGCCTCGGGGGCGGAGCGGAGCCGGGAGCGGCGGGAGACGAGGCGCCGGGCGCGGCGCTCCCTGGCCCGGACCTGGCACGGGGCCCCGGGCGGCGTCGCCGAGCCTCAGGGCCGCCTGGGCCGCGGGGACGGCGCCTCCTCTCGCGCCTCCCCGTCCGTCCCCTCAGCTCCGACCAGGCGCTCCTGAGCTTGTGTTCGGGTGAAGGATCTCTGACCCAGCACTCCGGAGCAAGAAGAAACCTACAGCCGCCAAGATGGCTGCCGCTAGGAAAACACCGGAAGCCCCGCCTCAAATGTTGAATCGCATGGAACTGCTTCCACCCTGACGTTTCATTGGCTCAACTCGGCGCATGTCCTTCCGGCAAATATAGTTCCTCTGGGAGGAACTCAAGTGCTCAAGAGGCTACAGGGAAGGATGTTCTCCATGCTGACCGCCGAGAGAGTTGGCTACTCTGAATCCTGAGAAATGCTGCAAATCGGTGCTCCTACCCAGAGATGGGCTTTGCTCCTTGGTAAAGGTAGCGAATACATGTAATTTCAGACTTCAGCAGATGAAGGTCAGCCTGCTTGCTCCTATACAATAAAACTATTATTTGAGATGCTTGAAATCAACTGATCTAAATGGCCGTGTCATTCCATGGAGTCAGTATGACATAAAATTAGTCCACGCGTAGTTGGATACATTATGTTATTGCTCTTCAAATGAGTGTGGCCTGAGGCAATAGTCAGTTTTGTGAGTTCTATTAAGATTAGCTAGGTACAAGAGAGGACACTCCGTACAGGGCCATGACTGGCGAGAAAGAAGAGGGCTATTGTGAATTAGGTGAAGAAGCAGGAGTTGGACTTCTGGTTCCCATAGAAAACCTCTCTCATGCCTGTAGAGTCAGCAATTGTGTCCTACACATTGAGGAATATTTTTGTCTATATAACATTTCTGACTCCATATTCTAAGATATGCTCAATTCGTTTTAGTGAACAGAGATCCACCTCAAATGAAGAGCTCCTTAACTAACTGTGTTTTGGTAGGGGTCATTGGTAGCAACTCTCATAGTCACAGCACATTTGTAAATGGAGTATCTGAACGCCAAGATGAAGGGAGCATCTTAAGCCCATGATCTGATGTCCTTCCTGCTAAGTGATTATCATTTTCCTGTAATTGCAGGTACAGTTCTTCATGGGGAATTGAGATTATCTCAGAAAAATAGTTTCAAAATGCAAGTTTCAGAAAGTTATTCATAATGTTTATGTAGTTATTCAAAGATAGTGGCAGAAGTGGTTGTGGGGAAATATCAGAGGAGGTTGAAGAAAATTAACACTTCAGAGAAAATTTGGTAGGGCTTTAATGCTTGAAAACATTAAGCAATACCAGCTTGGAGAAAGAATTGAAATAGACAATGAGAGTAGCCAAATCAGTAAAAATGAATGAGGATTTGAGGTGTCAATGTTTATTCATGGCTTTAAGAAATGTCCATTGAGCAAATACTCAGAATCAGACACTGTTGTTGTAGGTGCATGAGAGACCTCACAAAGACTTCTGCACTCATGCAGCTTACATTTGATAAAAATAAGAAGAAGGAGCCAGCCCTGTGGCTGAGTGGTTAAGTTAGCACACTCCACTGTGGCGGCCCAGGGTTTCACTGGTCTGAATCCTGGGCCTGGACATGGCACTGTTCATCAGGCCATGCTGAGGTGGCCTGGTGCCACAACTAGAATAACCCACAACTTAGAATATACAACTATGTACCCGGGGGCTTTGGGGAGAAAAAGGAAAAAAATAAAATCTTTAAAAAAATAAAATAGTAATAAGAAGTTTTCACATATTGAGATATATGGGGAAGCCATTCTGGTTTAAATCTGATTTGGCCTAAAAGTTGTTTTTCAACCAAGACATGGAAGCAACCCAAGTGCCCATCAATAGATGAATAGATAAAGAGGATGTGTTATATATCTACAATGGAATACTACTTGGCCATAAAAAAGGCAATATTGTGCCATTTGCAACAATATGGGTGAAGTTTGAGGGTATTATTCCAAACAAAATAAGCCAGACAGAGAAAGACAAACACCATATGATTTCACTCGTATGATTTCACTCATGTGTAGGAGATAAACAAACACATGGATAAGGAGAACAGATTAGTGGTTACCAGAGGGGTGGGGGGTGGGAGGGAGGGTGAAAGGTGACATACCTATGGTGACAGATAAAAACTAGACTATTGGTAGTGAACACGATGCAGTCTATACAGAAACTGATATATAATAATGTACACCTGAAATTGCACAACATTGTAAGTCAATATGACCTCAATAAAATAAATCAAAGAAAGAAGTTAGCCAAAAGTCAAGTTGTAAAGATTATTTGAAATTTGAATGTATGAATTTTTCTTACCTTATATTTTATTTAGATGTGGAATCTAACAAAGCTAAACCCACAGAAGTAGAGTAGAATGGTGGGTGCCAGGGCTGGGGGGTAGGAGTAAGGGAGAGATGTTGGACAAGGGGTACAAACTTTCCATTAGAAGATAAAATAAATTTTGGGGACCCAATCTACAGCACGGTCACTATAGTTAACGATACTGTACAATATGGCTGAACGTTGCTAAGAGAGAAGATATGAAATGTTCTCACCACAAAAAAAACAAAAAGGTAAATATGTGAATGATGGAGATGTTAACTAACCTTATTGTGGTTATCATTTCACAATATATTCATGTATGAAAATATCACTTTGTAATCCTTAAACTTACACAATGTTCTATATCAATTATATCTCAATAAAGCTCAGGGAGAACCTAACTGAATTAGAGAAAGAAGAACAAACAAAGCCCAAAGTCTGCAGAAGGAGAGAAGTAATAAAAATCAGAGCAGAAATAAATGCTATTGAAACAAAAAAGACAGTAGAAAGGATCAATGAAACAAAGAGCTGGTTCTTTAAGAAGATAAATAAAATTGACAAACCACTAGCAAGACTTACAAAGAAAAAAAGGGAGAAAGCTCAAATAAACAAAATCAGAAATGAGTGAGGAGAAATAACAACAGACTCCACAGAAATACAGTGGATTATAAGAGAATACTACGAAAAACTATATGCCAACAAAATGGATAACCTAGAGGAAATGGATAAATTCTTGGACTCCTACAATCTGCCAAACCTCACTCAAGAAGAAGCAGACAATTTAAACAGAGCAATCACAAGGAAAGAGATTGAAACAGCCATCGAAAGCATCCCAAAGAATAAAACCCCAGGACCAGATGGCTTTCCTGGGGAATTCTACCAAACTTTCAGAGAGGATTTAATACTTATCCTTTTCAAGCTATTCCAAAAAATTAGGGAGGATGGAACACTTCCTAACACATTCTATGAGGCCAACATCACTCTGATACCAAAGCCTGACAAGGACAGCACGAAAAAAGAGAACTACAGGCCAATATTGCTGATGAACATAGATGCAAAAATTCTAAACAAAATTTTG